CCCCTCTTATATTTATTTAAATACCATATGTATATAAGTATATATGGTATATAAATGAGACCATGATGTAGAGCTTTATTTGCAGAAAGGTTTTCCTAGTTTTAGGTCCATCAGCGGGTACTTAAAAAGGTTTTTCATGGTTATCAACTTCCATCTCCTTTATGATTATTTTTAATCATTCTTTCTCATAGAACCTAGCAGCTAAATCTAGCCATGTTAATTACCAATGTTCAAATTGGCAACTATATCCCTGCCAATCACCCCATTAATTAACGTATCATTTTATTACGCACTTATTTTATTCAGTCAAAAAATGTTTACTGATAACCTGCTATGCCTCACACCTTATGCCTGGTAATGAGGAAATGGTGAGCAAGAATACTTTTCCAGCAGAACAGACAGTCCAGGGGGATAACAATTATTAAGTATGAACCAAAAACTGTAGTAAGTTATCCTGGGGGAAGTGAGGAGACCATAGAAGCACACAACTGGAATGCCTATGCTAGTTTAGGAAGAGTGAAAGAAGTGTTATTTATGAAGAATTATCTAAAATATATGTAAGAATTAGACAGGTAAAAAGATGAGGGGGTTAGAAGTACTCCAGATACAAGGAATGTAAACAAATGGGAGGGCTCAGAAAGAAAAACACAGCCCTCTTCAGGAACAGTGCAGGGAGGGGGTGGGGAAAAAGGCAAAATCTGTTTGACCCTGGAGAGGTGGGCAGGGACCTAGTCACGTGTGGCCTTCTGACTCAAAGTACTTGAATCCCTTCTTGACAAGAGCTTCTATGCCCCCAAGGCTAGATACTATCAAGGGAGCAGAGAGAAATCAAACACTGCCAGAATTCTTGACCTCTGGCACACTTACTGCCACAGACACTGAAAGCCAATAAACTATGGCTGGTGGAAAGTAAGCATTTCTTAAAAACATCAAACCAGAATAAGTACCATGGGCAGAGGTAACTTCACAATACCCCACTGGTACACCAGATGTTAGAGAGTCTTACTCATAACAATGGCAGGAAAAGACACCAAAAAGAAGGATTGCTTTGGACTTCTACACCAGGGATATATCTGATGATTCCAGAAATAATCATAGGTATTACCCATTTCTACCAGCTCAACTGCTTCCCTGGCTTTCCCTGCTGTCCACATTTCTAGTCATTCAGCCTTGGTTTTCTTGTTTAATCTTACTTATCACACTTTCTCGAATGGCCTGCACTCTTGCTACATGGAGAGTTGAGTTGGGGCTTTCCTAAAGCTGATCCTGGAACAGATAACCCTAATACCCACAAGACAGCTGGGAACACACTGACCTGCAGTGAATAGTCAGAAACAAATTTCCTGTTACATATTTATCTTACTTACACTGGTTTTATTCAAATGTTTCAGAGAGTATATGCTTAATAACCAGGATACTGATCTATCCTTACATATGTAAGTTTACTGATATATGAGTTATTAAAAATAATAACCCTTAAATCTATTTTGGTAGATGCTGATTATCAGCTAATTCTTATCTTTTGATTTTAAGAAGAATGAAAAAGAGTATCATTTATAGGGAATTATCTAAAAGACAGTAGGAACTGATCAGGTAAAAAGGTGAGGAGGTTGGGCATACTCCAGACAAAAGAAACAGACACAAATGGGGAAATATCAGAAACAAAAACACAGGCCCTCAAGAAAGAGCACCAGGAGGGGGCAGGGAGAGCTTAGATTTCTAATGAGGAAAAAAAGACTGAGGTACAATAGCAAATATTTGGATTTATAAATCAAAAAACCACACAGAGAATGCCAAGGAGTTCGGAGAAATTCCACGTATCATTATGAAGGTTATAGTCCATTACATGTAACTCACGTGAAAACTGCCCATCTGATTTTCCAAAGTGCTAACTGAATCACTGTCAATTTAGTAGTGACCCCTGAACAATATCTGAGACATCAGTGTAAGACGTCCCATGCTCATGTACCCATGAATGACACTTCCCTGCCTGTCTAAAATACTGGTTCCCCAAACTGGCTGTACCTCGGAGGCACCTGGAGACTTGCCTCTGGTTTAAAATCGAGACTTCACTGGGCATGGTGGCATTGTGCCTGTGGTCTCAGATACTCAGAAGGTAGAGGTGGGAGGACTATGAGCTGAGGAATTCAAAATCAGCCTGGGCAACAGGCTCCATGTCTATTTGTAAAAGCAGAAAAATAAAGACAACATACACTCCCAGCTTCCACCAGGAGACATTCTCATTCAGTGAATCTGGGTTGAGATTCCAAAATTCATATTTTTAATAAGTGCTACAGGAGATTCTAAAGCTGGTGATACAGACTTAACACCACCACTTTCTAGATCAGTGGTCCTGAAAACAAGTTCACACAGGATCCAGAGAAGGTATAAACTGATCCACTGTGGTTTATGGAAAAAACATCACGTCTTTACATGTAATTTTTTTCTCTCTAGCTTTATTGAGGGGTGTGTGTGTGTGTGTGTGTGTGTGTGTGTGTGTGTATTAATATACACACTTTTTTTGTGAGACTAGTTTTCACTCTGTTGCCCAGGCTGGAATGCAGTGGTGCCATCAAAGTTCACTGCAACCTCGAACTCCTGGGCTGAAGCAGTCCACCCACCTCAGCCTCCCAAGTAGCTAAGACTACAGGCATGCACCATCACACCCAGCTAAAATTTTAATTTTTTGTAGAGATAGGATCCTGCTCTATGTTGCCCAGACTGATCTCGAACTTCTGGCCACAAGCAATCCTCCCACCTTGGCCTTCCAAAGCGCTGGGATTACAAGAGTAAGTCACCACACCCAGCTATTTTTAATTTTTTGAGCAACTTCCATACTATTTTCCATAATGGTAATAATAATTTATATCCCCACCAATGGTACACAAGACTTCCCTTTTCTCCACATTTTTAACTTACCTATATTTTATAACTTCATTTATCAGTATAGTATGTAAACATTGGCATTGCATAACCAAATTCTTTCTAGAAAAGGTATATAATAAAAAAAAATTAGGGGCCACAGTTAGGAGTACTTTTGCCCAGAAGTACAATTGAATTCCAGCGTCTCAGGGGAAATGAAAGGAATATGGAACTAAAAGAATAATATCCTGATGAGAGAGTAATGCAATGTTTACAAAACACAGTGAGGGGAAAGGTAAATCATAAGGAACCCCAATTGTATCTTTTTTTTTTTTTTGAGACGGAGTTTCGCTCTTGTTGCCCAGGCTGGAGTGCAATGACGCGATCTTGGCTCACCGCAACCTCCGCCTCCTGGGTTCAGGCAATTCTCCTGTCTCAGCCTCCTGAGTAGCTGGGATTACAGGCACACGCCACCATGCCCAGCTAATGTTTTGTATTTTTAATAGAGACGGGGTTTCACCATGTTGACCAGGATGGTCTCGATCTCTTGACCTTGTGATCCACCCACCTCGGCCTCCCAAAGTGCTGGGATTACAGGCGTGAGCCACCGCGCCCGGCCCCCAATTGTATCTTAACCTTAGAGAAAGTCACTTGGTATACCATCTTTCTCCTATGTAAAATGAGTAAAGAGGTGATCCACATGTTCTCTTAAGTTCCTCCCAGCACAAACACACTACAGTTTTATAAAGCACTGATGAGGAATCATGAGTGAGGTAATCAAGGGTGTACACGCCATTCCTCACAAGCTTGAAATAGGTCAACAAAGTCTGGAAAGTACCTGTCAGGCATACATGAAACCCATCACTGGAATCATAAAACATTAGAGTTTTTATAGCTTCAGGGGCCCCACATTTCACGGACAGAAAAAAGAGCTCACAGTGGAGACTTCTGACGAAGAAGTCCCAGGTGCCCGGTAGCACAGCCAAGTTATCTGATTCCCCAGAGTGTGATGCTCTCACTATACCAGTCTTCTTCCTTTCTAAAATAAAGGGACTTCCTAAGATACCACAGGCCTAGCATTCTGAAGATAAAAAATAAGGTCCATTCATTGTTCTCTAACATGATTTATGTTTGTAACCTTCACAAGAAGAAAAAAAAATGTTTTGTTTTGCCTCCCTGTTTCTTTTTTTGAAATCTGAGAAACTGGTGAAGACATAACCGTATAGTGTTAGAAAAGAAAATTTAAGAGCATCTGAAATAAGAAAGCCCATTGTGGCTCACAGTCAGGCTGCCAAGAGCCCCCTTGAGAGCAGAGGAGGTCTTCTGGAACACCACAAATTCCCAGTAGTCTCCAAGCACAGGCCCTTCCTTTATATTCACAAGACCCAGAGACAGGCAAGGTCAATTTCCCTTCTCATTTTCTTGTGTATCTAAAACTCTCTTTAATGTAAATTTAAAAAAACAAAAATGGAAGCAAGAGCTTCATGTATCTGTGAGGGGAAGCCACTGCCTTCCTCGCAGCCCCAGAAATGCTGAGTGGGCACTGGAAGAGCACAGAGGCCCAGGGTCAGATTTGGGATCTGCACATAATCCCACATTGAGAGCAGCTCCTCAAGTCTATTGAATCTAACCTATAGCTTGCGGAGCTGAAAATGGAACATGTCCTCCCAGGGAATACTCAGGCACAAAGCAGTTTGAGAGTCATGATTTCCAGACAAGAAGGCACGGGTATCTGGGCTCTGGGTAATACTGCCCACCCCCTAAAAGTCCCCAGGTCCCCAAATATCTTCCCCAAGAGGTTATATTCTGGAGATGCAGGTAAGAGAACAGTGTCCCAAAAGTTGAAGTTTAGCCGCTCCTTATTCAAAGTGGAAAAAAAAAGGAAGTAAAATAAATTACTATCCACTATACTAGGCACTTTACACTTAGGATCCAATTGCACCCTCACAATGAAAATTTTCCACATTCAGATAGAGCCTAGTTAATTCCAAACTTCTAGGGCAAATTGAACCCAAGCTAGACAAACAACTTTTATCTCAAACAAAAAACACTCTGATATCAGGGCAAATAGCATAAAACAGATTATAAAGAAATATACACAATTTTTAAAATTTCAATATATTCAATATTAATCATTGATATTCTTAATTATACATGAAGTTCAATCCAAAAAAAAAGGTCTGCTAGGCAATATTTCATAATCCTTGCTCAAGTTACCACTCTATAACAACAAAAAAAATAATAACAGAATTGCATTTCTTTTCAGCTACCCTGCAATCTGTCTGTACACATTCCTACAATTATTCAATCTGCAGAGGTATGACCATAAATGTTTTCCTTCTTCCAGACCACACCACAAGAATGTCCAATTCTGGGAAAGACTGCATGGCAGGACCCAAGCAGTCTCTTCCCTATTTTCTTTTTCTTTTTTTAGAAAGAGTCTTCTCTTTTGCCCAGACTGGAGTGCAGTGGCACAACCATGGCTCACTGTAGCCTCGAACTCCTGAGCTCAAATGATTCTCCCACCTCAGCCTTCCAGGTAGCTGGGACTACAGGTGGGTACCACCATGCACGGCTGGTTTTTGTTTGTTTGTTTGGTAGAGAATGGGATCTCACTGTGTTGCTCACACTGGTCTCAAACTTCTGACCTCAGGTAATTCTCCCACTTCGGCCTCCCAAAGTGTTGGTATTACGGAGTGAGACACCACAGACAGCCTCTTCCCTATTTTGAACTTCTACTCCACCCTATCCATCTTCAATTAGGTTACATCATTTCACCCCACTGTCTACGGATGTTGAAGATGTGAAAAGGTATTGAAAACTTCAGGTTTCATTTCCTGGAATGCGAAAAACATCCAGAGGCTATCGTCAGCCCACCACAGAAGCCTTGAATGTTAATGCCTCTCAAAGCAGTGTTCAGAAATTAATAGCTCCAAAAACTTATTTTTTAATCAAGGTAACTATGTGCATGAACCCAAGCTCCACAAAGTAATTAGGTGGCGAGAGAAAAGGCAGGCATGTTTAAAGAACTAATTGGGTCCTGTTTATAATGAGCCACGAAGACACGGAGACCAGAAAAAAGCTGAGCTCCTTGTTCTGGCGCTATCTCCTCTGCCTCTTATCACCAGCAATCGTACATACATAAAAAGCTCTCCTCTCATCAAGGATGAAGATGGAGAACACTAAATATGCAGATATTTTTGATTACTAATTAATTTCCTATTTCCCCCTATTAAGCCAGGAGGAATCTACCTATAGAACAAACCTTTTGCATCCAACTGCTCATATTCATTTCTGTTGCCACTGCTCTCATTCATTTCCTTGCCTTATTGTGCCTGGACTATTAAAGATAGCCTCCTAACTGCTCTAATTCTGCTAATAATTTATTTTGCACGAAGTTGCAAGAGTAATTTTTTTTTTGGTAGAGACAGGGGTCTCGCTATGTTGCCCAGGCTGGTCTCAAAATCCTGGCCTCAAGTGATCCTCCTGCCTCGATGTCCCAAAGTGTTTGGATTATAGGTATGAGCCACTGTGCCTGGCTACGAGAGTAATTTTCTGATTCACAACTATTACCAAGACTGAAACCTGAAGGACTTTTCACTGTGTATACATCCTAAAATCTGGAATCAAGGCTCTCTGTGATCTAGCCCAACCTCCCTTTAAAACCTTTTTTGATCCTATAAATTCTAAGGTCACAAAACTAGAAGCCAATGGAACCAAATTCATCTGTTGATATATTTTCCTTACAATGTTTAGTTATAGTAACCGTAGTAACAGTAGTCACAGCAAACATAGAGCTTCCTATGTCCAGGGATTTTCTAAGCACTTTACATGCATTATCCCCTTAGTTATCACAACTCCGTGAGGTTGTTACTATCTTCAATTTAAAGATGAAGGAAAATGAGATTTTAAAAGTGGAAGAGTCACTCCTGGAACTCAAGGAGATCGGCTCCAGAGTTTATATCCTAACTACTATATGGTACTACAATCCGTTAGAGAAGGAATGAATGGAAAGATGGGTGCGTACATATAAGGCATTATTTTGTGAGCTATTTTAAGGTTCATGTTTGTGAATGTATACTCTTTCCTGCTAGTAATAGAGGAAAATGAGCTCTCTCCTGATCTCAGTGGGTTCTTCTACCTGTAATTACAGGTAACCTTGATAACACTGACCTTCCCTTCAGTTGCACAGCTGCACCTGCCCAAAGCATTGAGAGTGAGCTTTGCGTAATTGAGTGGCTTTACCTTCATTGGTACTGTCAAAATAGTGACATAAAAAAAATATAAGTAACAAGTAGACAAAGGAAAAGTGCCTAATAAAGAGGAGAGGCTTCACGGAAGAAAGAATAAATGAAGTATATGAACTGTGCATATTTATAGCACCTGCAAATTAACTTCCTAGAAACAGCAATAAACAGATAAAGAACAGTCCTTAGCGGAATCAGGCACAAAATGGATGCAGCTGCAAGAACACAGAAACACATACACTTTTACTTGCAAACATCTGTCCCCCAGTACGCCCAGCAATTCTCCCAAATCATTCTCACAGGAGCCCAGTAAAAAGATAAGAAATTGTACCATATTCTTGCCTAACACCAATACCTTCCTACCACTCTGACCCTAAATTACCTTTAGGGTGCTCTGATGAAAGAAAAATGCTATAGAACAGAGACCAAGAGAAAAGTCTTAAGCATTCCACAGCTTAAGACAGCAGGTCTACGGCAAAGAGCCTTGCAAAGGGAACCAAGCATGCCTCCTCGTATCTGCTCTGACTTATTAGTACTTTGGGCAAGCCAGAAGTTCTCTCAACCTCATTAGCCATCTTAATATGAGGTGAAAAGGGGTTCCAAAGACAGTGCAAAAACATGTCTCCCAATTCCTTGATGCAATATTTTAATCCAATCCTACCTAATCAGCATAATTTTCCCTCCACACTCATGCCAGGAGTACCATGCTCCAATCGCCCCCCTTTGAGTGGCATTCTCCAACTTGAGTTGTCACTCTGCTGCCTCTGGAGGTTTGCTTATGTTGTTCTTTCAAGCTTGGAATACCTTTCCTTCTCTAATTATTTCCCATCTGAATGACAGCCTATTTATACTTCTTTGTCAGTGGCTCTCAGTCTTGGCTGCACATTAAAATCATGTACAAAGCTTTAAAAAATGTTGTTGCCTCTGTCCAAATTCCATAAGTTCTGATCTGATTGTTACATGGTTTTGTCTAGATATTGCGATTCTTCAAAATTCTCCCAGGTGATTCTAAAGTACAGCCAAGGTAAGAGTCTCTGCCCCAGATCTTGCCCAAAGCCACTTCCTCTAAGAAGCCTTTTGCCTAACCAAAACCAACTGTTCCCACCCAGACTTTTCCTAGTTCAGACAGAATCATGTCACTGGTTACAGCTAAGTCTGCCATAGTTCGGTATCAGGACTATCTACATCACTAGAAAGAAAGGATAGACGGAGACTGGAAACTGTGTTTTACTTATCTGTGCCAGGCCCCTTAGGATAATGCTGTAGCCTCAGCCACCACTCAATAAATGTTTGATGAATTTAATTGAATTGCTGCTTCTACATACTTTGCTTTGAGAAGCCAAAAACATGAACAGCAGTAGCATTTTCAATGAGTTTCCAGTAGAAACAGAGTACCAGAGGTCTCAGACACTTACAAGTTTACTGCTGGAGGCAGGCCACCTCTTCCCTAGTAGGCCTGCAGTACAAACACAGGACTCAAACCGTCTCTCAACCTGCTATCTGTAATAGTGGATAAAGCAGCAAAAAGCCCAGCCTTCGTTATATCCAGTGGAAACAGAATAAAATTAGGTATTTTTGCAAAAGACATACTGCAGTCAGGGTCTGGGGAAAGAGACTGAACAGGAAGTCCATGTCTCCGCAGAGCAAATCTCAACATAACACACCCACTGGACTAGCCCTGCCTCTGGGAGAGAAGGCACTAAGGCAATGAGTTTCAGAATTTATCGTATACAAAAATTCCTGGTGGCAGTGGCTCACACCTATAATCTCAGCACTTCGGGAGGCCAAGGCAGGAGAATCCCTTGAACCTAGAAGGCAGACATTGCAGTGAGCCGAGGTCACGCCATTGCACTCCAGCCTGAGCAACAAAAGTGGAACTCTGTCTTTTAAAAAAAAAAAAAATTCCTGGGGTGCTTGTTAAAAATGCAGATTCCTAGACCACATCCTCTCCCACCCCCACCTACTGAACCAGAATACCTCTGGGTAGGGCATGCTGATGAAGCCTGAGAATGTATGTAGACTTGCTGGCAAGTATAAAAGGCCTTTTATCACAAAGACCTAAGGCAATTCAGATACTCAGTCCTGTAGATTCACTAAGAATTTGGGAGGAAAGCTTTGGAAAAGAAGGGACAATCTGCAATGCTGGATCAAAAATTATTTGAGGTGAGAGGCGTGCACACAGATGGTATACCTCTTTACCAATGTCTACTGTGGAGTTTAAAGATGGTAACCAAAACTGGAAGTTTTTACCTATAGTAGATAATCAATGAATAACTGACAATAATAATAATTTCTTTCACAACTTTCTTCTACAATTTTATACTTGATAGTTCCTAGAAATCGAGAAGGAGGTATCATTAGCTTTAAACCAGTTTCCACTCTAACTTTTGTTCCTTTATTAAAGAATAGCCTTCACCCCAACTCTCCACGCACCATCCTGCAGGAATGTCTATCTATAGATAGCCACCACCACCATCTTATCTACCCTACTACTCCAGAAGGACTCAGCCCAACTAAAGGAAATGGGCCAGGCACAGCTAGCTCATTCATAACTTACCAATGGTTAACAAACCCCACGTAAGTCTTTTATCTATGCTGGAAACCCTGCCTTAGGTAGATTCACACTTTTGCAACTGCACCATTTGTTGCAGACCATCCCATGTCAGTTAATTTCTAAAGGAAGAGACTGGAGTCATGTCTAAGTATCTGGGAATTAAACTATTAAAAGACCCAAACATTTCTTTACCT